GCCAGTATTTCACAGTCTATCTTACATACTTCACATTACCACTCTCTCATGTACCTCCCTGCTCCTTCTGGGGTTGTTAAATAGGTATGTTGTGATAAGAAATATACCGGCCGGCGCCGTGGCTCACTAGGCTAATCCTCCGCCTTGAGGCACCGGCACACCAGGTTCTAGTTCCAGTTGGGGCACCGGATTCTGTCCCGGTTGCCCCTCTTCCAGGCCAGCTCTCTGCTGTGGCCAGGGAGTGCAGTGGAGGATGGCCCAAGTGCTTGGGCCCTGCACCCCACGGGAGACCAGGATAAGCACCTAGCTCCTGCCATCGGATCAGCGCGGTGCGCCGGCCGCAGTGCGCTGGCCACGGCGGCCATTGGAGGGTGAACCACCGGCAAAGGAAGACCTTTCTCTGTCTCTCTCTCTCACTGTCCACTCTGCCTGTCAAAAAATTAAAAAAAAAAAAAAATACCACAGACACTGGATTCTGTGACTAGATAATCTCAAATTCTAGTAGACAAAACCTTGGAGGTCTAATTAAATCTTCCAGTAGAAGAATTATTTCTTCACCATCCCTGACAAGTTAGTTTTCTCGCTGTTAGTGAGGGTTTTTTGTTTTAGATTTATTTGAAAGCATTATACAGAGAGAGGGAGGGAGAGACAGAGATCTTTGGTCTGTGGAATGGCTGCAGTGGCCACAACTGGGCCAGGCCTAAGCCAGGAACTAGGCGCTTCATCTGCGCCATCTTCCGCTGTTCTCCCAGGACATTCAAAGGGACCAGGATTGGAAGTGGAGCCCATATGGGATGCCAGTGTTGCAGGTGGTGGCTTTGTCTGCTGTGCCCCAGTGCCAGCCCCAGAGCACCCTTTTTAAAGGAGAACTGAAACCTCGCTATTTTTAACTCTGACTCCTTAGTTCTAGAAGCTGTCAGGAAAGAAGAGACAGAGTATGAAGCCACAGCCAGACCAGGTTTCTTCAGAAGAAGGAAGCCTGGGAGGGACTCAGCCCAAGTGAATGCATGCAGTTGCCAGGGCACACTGCCCTTACAGACCAGCGGCTCATCTAGTACAGAGTGGCGGGGAGGGGCTTGGGGGTCTAGCTAAAGCTGGGCTGCCGAGAGAGCGAGCTTGGGCTTATGCTCAAGGTCCTGTGAAATCACAGTGTGAGCCGGGAGAGGTTCGGGCCAAGGCTGAGGCTGGACCCAGGAGCTGAGCTGTTGAGCGGGGGCAAGAGAGCTTGGGAGGGATGGGGCAAGCCCAGGTGGATGGCGGGACTCTGCAGGTAGGGGTATGTCCAGCAGTCCAGAGAAATGGGGGCCTGCTGGCTGGTACGTAGGTGAGGGCTCAACATGGATCTAAGGCCTTTGGTCCATGCTGCATCAGGAGCCACAAAGAATGAGCTCCTCCTGCCTCTGCGTGTGAGCTGTGAATCCTGAACTCAGCAGTAGTAAGTAGCGCTCTCGTGTTGTTGTTTTTGGACAGGCAGAGTGGACAGTGAGAGAGACAGAGAGAAAGGTCTTCCTTTTTTCCATTGGTTCACCCCTCAATGGCCGCTGCGGCCTGCACACCATGCTGATCCGAAGCCAGGAGCCAGGTTCTTGTCCTGGGCCCTGCACCCGCATGAGAGACCAAGCACTTGGGCCACAGCAGAGAGCTGGACTGGAAAAGGAGCAACCGGGACAGAATCTGGTGCCCCGACCGGGACTAGAACCCGGGGTGCCAGCACCGCAGGCAGAGGATCAGCCTAGTGAGCCGAGGCACCGGCCGGAAGTAGCTCTCTACCGCTTTCTGTGGAAATGATCCCTGGTCGAAGTCTCAACTGCATTCGTGTTGTGGTTTTTTTTTTTTTTAACTTGGCCTGTTGACCATGGTTTCAGCTCTTACACCTCAAGCTATTGGGGAAAGTAAGTGTTCTTGGATATAGACACACAGGCAAGGCAGGTGACAGCAAAGCCAAGTCAGAGCTTGCAGGCCGCTGTTGGAGAATAATCCAGGCCTCAATCCTCAAACTGTCCTCGCGAGGGTAGCACTGAGGATCCTGGGAGCTGTCCTGGCTCTGGGAGACCAGCTCTGCAGTAGGAAGGAAGGTGTAAGTCATCCTGGTTGGCAGTTTTGCCAAAGGCTTAGGAGTAATAGATCAAGTTGGAAAAGCAAACTAGAACTGGCATTTACATTGTTTTATATCATAATATTTCTGTGACCAAGCGTTCATCAATCAAAGGGGAAAAATAAAGAACAGAAACTCGTGAAGGCGTAGTGATAAGGTGAGTAGAGCACAAAATACATGTATTTCTCTTGGAACGGCCAAGGTGCTTAGACAGTGAGCACACCTAACCCTTGGGTCGTGTCCACTTCTCGGCTGTTCAAGTGCTGCTGATTGCTGTGTGCATAGTTCTCGTTTCTCTTGAGTCCCTAGACTGGAATCACTGGGTCTTGTAGCCTATTGAGAAAGAACCCGATTGATTTCCAAAGCAGTGGCACCATTTTACATTCCCACCAACAGTATGTTGCGTGTCCAGATTTCCCCACATCCTCACCAACGCTCATTATCTTTTTGCTAAATGGTTCATCATCTTTGTTCTGCTCCCATCGGCTCCACCTTGACATCAAGGCCTACATCATCCTGTCGGTTTAGGACTGTCCAGCCCCCGTCCTGGCTGTGTGATTTGGGTCACTATGGGTTTGACTCAGATTTATTTATAGTTGGCACGTGCTCATTGGACATACTTTATGGGAAGCATGGCAGTTCCATGCATGTGTGATACAGTGTGTAGTGATCATATCGAGGCTGACTTGGATTTTCTTATACAGGGAAGTAATTGTTTCCGTGTGACATCACACTGTACAGTTGTTTACACTGACTAGCTTTTTTTTTTTTTTTTTTGACAGGCAGAGTGGACAGTGAGAGAGAGAGACAGAGAGAGAAAGGTCTTCCTTTGCCGTTGGTTCACCCTACAATGGCTGGCGCGCTGCAGCCAGTGCACTGCGCTGATCCAATGGCAGGAGCCAGGTGCTTCTCCTGGTCTCCCATGGGGTGCAGGGCCCAAGGACCTGGGCCATCCTCCACTGCACTCCCTGGCCACAGCAGAGAGCTGGCCTGGAAGAGGGGCAACCGGGACAGAATCCGGCGCCCCGACTGGGACTAGAAGCCGGTGTGCCGGCGCCACAAGGCGGAGGATTAGCCTAGTGAGCCGCGGCACCGGCCACTGACTAGGTTTTAAACTCAACTCTGGATTCAAATCATTGTTCTCCTGTTTACCACGCATGTACCTTTGGAGTCTTTTTTTTTTTTTTTTTTAATGACATTTGTTTGAAAGGCAGAGTAACAGAAAGAGAGCTTCTACCTACTAGTGCAATCCCCAGATATCTACAACAGCCAGGTCTGAGCCAGGAACTCTGTCCAGGTCTGCACATGATGGCAGGGCCCCAGTGTGTAGGCCATTGTCCACTGCTTTCCCAGGCACAGAAACAGCGCGGTTGGCACTGGAACTGGCGCTCCGCTACAGGATGCTGGCATTGCAAGCAGGAGCTAACCTGCTGCACCACAGCACCGGCCCCTGGAGCTCCTTGTTATTCTGGACCTTTTATATTTTAGGATGAAGCCTCTGGGGTTCTTGTGCTCACTGGCGTGTTTGTGCTGCCCGAGTGGTCACCCCCAGTGTGACAGAGAGGCCTCCACTCCTGGTCACCAGAAGCTATAGACGTGTAGCTTTTTTTCCTTTTCCTGTTGGTTTTTACTGTGCAGCTTTCAGCCTTTCTTTTACCTGTTTGATTTGTAGGTCCCCACACCTCGCCTGCCCTCCTCCTTACACCGGATAACTAGTTTTCCTTCGAGTCCACTGACACTGGTGTGCTCTAGGCCATTTTCTGTCTATTCCAGAACTCCACTCCTCTGCCTGCCTTTTAAGGCCAAATTTCTTCTCTTCTCCCCAGCAGACCCACTCTTCTTATTCTGTACATTTCTGCCTCTAGCCATTTCCCATGTTCTTTCTCCACCTGGAATCTCTGATCTCATTCTGTAAACCTGTCTCAATCCCGCCAGTCCTCAGCTGTGCTGCCCGGGTTCCACCTTTAGTACACCTTCCCTAGTGCCGTTCTAAGTACCACAGATAGGAGACGAGTGAACCACAGATAGGAGACGAGTGAAATGGTCCGTGCTCAAGGAGCCTCGCCTCCTTCCTTGCTCCGTTTTCTACTCTGCCCCGGTCCCTCCCCTCCCCTCTTCCATCCCTCAGGCGGGCTGAGGCTGTTCCCGTCTTGAGGATTTCAGACTTGGAGTGTCATGCTGAAGACTCTTTCTCACAGCTGCAGGAGACTCCATTCCACCAGGTTCAGCCCTCATTGCTGAGAGCGTTTGGCTGCCGATTCCAGCGTCCCCTGCCGCCAGGCACTCTACCCTATACCGTCTCCCGCCACGCATCTCCCGTTGTACTTACTCATACCTGAAATGGTCTTGGTGCTTTTGCTTGCTTCTCCTTTATTTTTCAAACACCTGAAGTGTATAAACCCAGCACTTTGAACACACCTGGCACCCAGCGGGCAGTTGTGTTGGCTGAAATATTCCGGAACAATGCACTTGGCTTGGGGATGATGGGCCCCTCGGGCTCTGGCAAACCTGAGAACCCAGGTGAGGGAGCCATCCAGTATCAGAGTAAGCTGCTGGTGACCACTGGAAGGTCAGTTTCTGTCTGTGCGGGGTTTGCTTTCTGATGAGGGCCATTTAGCCGAACTCTGACTTCTGCCTCAGAGCAGAGTAAGAACTGCCTCGGTATTATGTGTGTGCTCAGAGCCCACTGCAGCTGCTGGCACTGCTGCAGACTGTGGTTCTCAAAGTCATGTTGCTGTGTGCCGTGGCCTCCTGACAAGCTGTTCTTTCCAGAAAGAGCTGTACCCTTGGCTGCTCAGTTTCTCTGTGCTCTCATTTTCTTCCTTTGCAGAATAAGATGGGGTGTAAGTAATACCAGCAAAAATGCTTACTGAATGCATGAAATTCTGCTTTCTCCCCTTCTTAGATGTGAACGATTAGAAGAACAATTAAATGACCTAACGGAGCTCCACCAGAACGAAATTTTGAACCTGAAACAAGAATTGGCCAGCATGGAAGAGAAAATCGCATATCAGTCCTATGAACGGGCCCGGGACATTCAGGTTAGCATGAAGGAGAAGTTGACAAGCAAGATACTATTGGGGTGGGTTTAGACATACGGCAGGTTAACCTTTGCTTGTGACACCCACTTCCCAGATTCCAGTACAGCGGGTGATAGCTCAAGTACTTGGGTTCCTGCCACCCACGTAGGAGACCCAGATGGGGTTTCTGACTCCTTCAGCCTGGCCCAGCCTTGGCTGGTGTACTAGCACAGAAAAGATCTGTCTATGTCACTCTGCCTTTCAAATTAAAAATGATGATAATAAAAAGACAATACTGCAGAGTTTGAAAGATGAAAAGGAAGCGGGGAGGTGTGTTGCTAGGCAGTTTGGGAGAATAATCCACGAGGCAGGCATGTTTGAGGCTAGCAGCCCATCTGTTTCATTCTGTGGGAAGATAGTGTGTTCTTTGGGGAGGTATTTCTAAGGGAACCGTTCCTGTGGTTGCCTGTCAGAGCGCTTGAAAGCAGCTGATACAGAGAAGGAAAATGTCTGGGAAGCTGGTGTCCCTGCAGCCCCCAGGGCCCAGGGAACGTCTCGGTCATTGGCCTGGCTGCCACCTTCTCCAGGCCCTGGAAGTCTTATCATGTTTACTTTCTCCCCAGGAGTGTTCTGAACGGTGCAGTATCCATTATCTGTCTGTTCTATGGCTGGCTTCAGTCTTGAGTTGCCTAAACTTCGTCAGGTCCCAGGATACCAAGACCAGAGAAACCCAGGGCTCAGGCCACTGCTGAACTTCGGAAGATAAATTCTGACCCCTGAAGGTCATGGTGAAATTACCATATAATCTCAGTGGTCAAAGTCATGGCCTTGAAGGGAGATCACTTTTAATGATTGGTCTCCTTCCAAATAAGAGTGGGCTCAAACAGCAGGGGGTGTGTGCAGGAAGCCTGTGCTATTTCCAGCTATAAATCCCCATAAGGGCATTCATTCAGCGGGGACACACCCATACTACCAAATCACCAGCCCCACTGCTGGTTGAACAGAACAGCTCGTTGATCAGTTTCTGTGATCCGACACTTCATATTAGTCCAAGTACTGACTGCATCGGTTTCCCTAGGCACATCAGCCTGTGTACCAGAATGCAGCTGGAAAAGGCTGAACACTCCCGACACTGACAGTGTCACGTAAGGGGCAGGTTCTGTGTCCTCAGACATTTTTTACACTCACTCAACAAGCGTGTCCCGTGTGACTTAGATTAAGAATGTTTTTCAAAGATTTATTTTATTTATTTGAAAGGCAGAGTTAGAGACAGACATACAGAGAGAGGGGTCTTCCATCCACTGGTTCACTCTCCACATGCCTGCAATGGCCAGAGCTGGGCCAGTCTGAAGCCAAGAGCTTCTGGGTCTCCCGCCTATGTGCGGGGCCCAAGCACCTGATCCTCTGCGGCTCTCCCTGGGCACATTAGCAGGCAGCTGGATTGGACATGGAGCAGCTGGGACGTGAGCCACTGCCATATAGGATGCTGCATTGCAGGTGGCAGCTTAATCCCTTATGCCACAGATCCGACCCTGCGTTAAGAATGTTTTACATGGTAAAAAGGGGGCCAGCACTGTGGCATAGCAGGTAAAGATGCTGCCTGCAGTGCCAGCTTCTCATATGGGCGCCGGTTCAAGTCCTGGCTGCTCCACTTCCGATCCAGCTCTCTGCTATGGCCTGGGAAAGCAGTGGAAGATGGCCCAAGTCCTTGGGCCTTTGCATCAGTGTGGGAGACCCAGAAGAAGCTCCTGGTTCCTGATCAGCACAGCTCCGGCCATTGCGGCCAACTGGGGAGTGAAACAGTGGATGGAAGATCTCTCTCTCTGTATAACTTTTTCAAATAAAAAAAGTGATAAAAAGATGTATTTGAGGTTTTACCATTAAAAATGTTCTGAATAAGATACATTTAAATGTGACCACCACAGCTTGTGAGCCCTGCAACAGCAATACAACTAAGGGAATGCGGCCGGTACCACAGCTCACTAGGCTAATCCTCCGCCTGCAGCGCCGCCAGCACCCCGGCTTCTAGTTCTGTTTGGGGCGCCAGATTCTGTCCCGGTGGCTCCTCTTCCAGGCCAGCTCTCTGCTGTGGCCAGGGAGTGCAGTGGAGGATGCCCAAGTGCTTGGGCCCTGCACCCCATGGGAGACCAGGAGAAGCACCTGGCTCCTGGCTTCGGATCAGCGCAGTGTGCCGGCCACAACGGCCACTGGGGGGTGAACCAATACCTTTCTGTCTCTCTCACTGTCCACTCCACCTGTCAAAAAAAAAAAAAAAAAAAAAAAACCTAAGGGAATGACAGTCACTAAAATGTTTAAAACCATTTGCGTTGTTCAGTTCTGTTCGCTTTGCCGGTGCTCCAGCACTCACAGGCCTTGTGTGCAGAACGCCTAACTGCTCTCTCTGCCGGCCCACAGGAGGCCCTGGAGGCGTGCCAGACCCGCATCTCCAAGATGGAGCTGCAGCAGCAGCAGCAGCAGGTGGTGCAGCTGGAAGGGCTGGAGAACGCCACTGCCCGGAACCTGCTGGGCAAGCTCATCAACATCCTGCTGGCCGTCATGGCTGTCCTGCTGGTCTTCGTGTCCACCGTGGCCAACTGCGTGGTCCCGCTCATGAAGACTCGCAACAGGACGTTCAGCACTTTACTCCTGGTGGTGTTCATGGCCTTTCTCTGGAAGCACTGGGACGCCCTCTCGAGCTACGTGGAGCGCTTCTTCTCGTCCCCCAGATGACACTGGCGCGCGCTGGCACACAAGGCCATTCTCCCTCCCCCGGCGAGTGCATGCAGTGGAGTCACACAGCAGCGTACCTACTCGGAAGTTTTCTACAACAAGAGTTGAGTGAATCTGTTTACATTTAGAATAATGTTTTTTTTTCTTCAAGAGACGCAATTGCAATAGTATTTTTTAGATTTTATCCAAGAAGTTTTTTGGGCAAAAATCTTGGATCATTTTTATGTAGCATGATTTTCCTTGGGATGCAAATCTTCAACAGTCCTTTCACATGAACCCACAGTCGGGAGCACACTGAAGGGCATTCTCAATTGTGGCTTGAAGGACTGCACTAAAACCCACTACCAAGATGTGAGAACCTGACTAGGGCAAAGCAGTTCACCGTAACACCCCCTTCCCTGGGCTCACCGCCTCCTCCCCTCCCACACTAACTGTACTGTGAAATCCTACCACATTCCGTGGCTGAATGTCTGGATTCAGGGTGGATGTTCCTTGTCCGTGGAAGAACACATGGATCTCCCTGGCTTCTCACCCAAGCTGACTCACGTTCATCCTGGAAGTATGATCCCTTTTGAACCTGTCCCCTTAACCTTTGCTAGGATACGAAACTGAGAGCACGCGCCCCCAGGATCACTGCGCAGGCCCACTGGAGTCCTTTGAAGTAGCCCTCTGAATCCCTGATTTTAAGCAAAATCCCTTGGCCGCACTTTTAAGTTTTTTTATATGTGTATAGTTACCACCTTAAAAATAAAAAATCCGAACAGCATACTTGAAGAATGTAATACTCAAACTCTCAGTGCTTCCTTATGGTTTCTAATAGGATTTTTTATTATTGTTATTATTATTGGGTTTTTTTGGAAAGGGTTGGGAGGGTGTTTTATTTTTCCTTTGAAATAAAGAAGTGATGTTTTTAAATGAAGAAATGTGTGGATATTTAAGTGTGCTGCTCCCTCTTGTCTTGAGACAGTCTGAGTAAGGAAGACTCGCTGTGACCCTGCCCTCCCTCCTCTCCAGACACACGCAGCCTCCCTCCGCCGCCTCCAGGGCCTCCTCACAGGCGTGGGAGTGCAGCGGCAGTGAGGCCGTGCCCACAAGCCAGTGCGCTAGGGCAGGAATTTATTTTTTTTGGTCCCAAGAAAATGTCGACCCCGTGACTTTGGGCTGGGTTTGTATTTATGGAGACTGTATTATCAGAGTCCTAAATATTCCTTATGTTTCCTTAATTTATTTCTTAACACTCCCTGATGAACTGAAACCAAAGTGACGTGGAGTCTTTAGATCTGTCTGCCTCAGAGGATCACAGGGCACCGATTCCCCGGTAGAGCGGAGAGCGCGTCAGGTTAGAAAGGACCCACGGTTTGGGTGTAGAGCGTTGCCAGCCTCCTACTCATCTAGACTGACGTATTCAACTAGCTGTGCTCAGTGGACTTCTACAGATGGTTTAGACACACAGACGGAGCCTTCTTCCACACCCTTCATCCTGTTCCATCCTCCTGGTGGCGCCTGTCCAGAGCGCTTGATTCACCATTCCGTGCACCCAAGTGATGAGCAGGCTGCCCGCCGGTCACTCGCCTGAGGAGGGAGGCAGAGCAGGCTCTGCCCATCCCCTCCCCCCAGTGGTATCCAATTCCGGAACCAGTTAGCATTGCTCTGTCGGAAAGAATGGTTTCTCCTACAGCTCCAGCCTCCCTTTCGTTTGGCAAGCTGGCATTCTCAGAGTTGGCACAGTGTTGCCATACCCGCTCAGGTAGCCCAGCGTCACCCTACCCATCCGTGACCAGTCACCTGAAAATACTTCCATTTGTAAAAATAAACGAGTTCACATTCATGCCAAAAACAAATTGCTCCCAAACTTCTGTAAACTCAGAATGTTAACTTTCCCTAAAAGTGTTGCACTGACCTTAGGCAGGAGTACCAGGGGGCACTATGACCTTGTCCAGCTAGCGCAGTTTGCCCTAACTTCTTTGTGTAAGAGCTCCGTATTTTAGAGCAGAGGAGAGTGCCCGTGGAGCTGTTGCTCACAGGCTGTAGCTGCAGCCCCAGGGGAACCTTTAAAGGGCAGAGCTGCAGTTCAGTGGGCACAGGAAGTCGCCACGGTACAGGGGTTGACCTCACTCCCATCTGCCGTGGGACGCTTCCTATCAAAGCAGGTTGCCACCTCTGCTGAGCCCCCCCTCCCCGAGCTGCAGCCAGCAGGCCAGGCCCCTGGTGACTGCCGTCTTCCTTTGTCACCCTGCCCCAGGAAGGACTCTTGGGCCAGGCCAGGCCACGCCAGGCCCAGCGGCGGCTTTCTTGCTGTCTCACCCGCTCTGTGGGGCCCCAGGCACCACAGTTGTCTGCATTTAGCACCCTTCACAACTGCACACTTGTTTCCAGCCTTCCCATCCATCCTGCTGCCCTGTGGCCTTGGAGTTTCTTTGCCTTGCAGCTGTTCTTGGTCTCTTGTCTGTTCCACGCTCTCCCACCTCCTCTCTCTAGCAGTGTAACAACCATTCTGGGTGCAAACTTCAGAAAGCAGTCACGTGAGCTCCCTTTGCAAGGAAGCACTCCTGGGTCCCTTGTCTGTGCTGGGGCCTGCAGGTGACTGCAGGTGAGAGAGTGACCGTCCCTTTGCACTGTCATCTCAGGGCCCTTCCGTCTGCCCAGCACATCCTAGCCAGGAAGGCTTTCTACGGCACAAGTGGCAAAGTGAAGTTTAATTGTATCCCTCCCTGGTTGGGCCCTTCTCTCTCCCCATTCCAACCAGGGCACAAACCTGAACGCCAAGACAAACATTGAGCTCAAGCCTTCCTTGATAGCTGTGTCATACGGAGCAGGTTTTCACTTGGTTTTGTTTCTCATTTCATGTTCCATGAGGTACAGTTGGGATAAAACACAGAATCCCGAGTGAGTTCCAATGAGCAGAGGCCTTTCGGCTTTGGAAAATGCACATCCAAACCCAAACCTAGCGTTCCCGTCGGCAAACCGATCAGGCACTGTTAGAGTCCCTGCACCTCCGCCCCCAGATGGAACCTGGGATTCCGAACACGGCTCTAAGAGTTAACATTTCCGTCTGTGTGTTGTGTATGCTAGGTGGTAACCCTGAGTAGGACTGACTTCTAGACTGTGTGTTTTATCAAAGTGTGTAAGAATAAAAACTCACTTGCACGAATTGCAAAGTAAAGAAATGACACTTGTGAACGTGTGGACGTTAGCACTGTAGTTGATAGATCTTAAGCTGCTAATTGTTGAGAGAGAATTAAACTCATGTCTGTGTGGTCGCCGCTGGTTCTCAGCGCTTTTACTGTACATATGAACTGAAATAAAGACCTCAGCTCTTAACCCGGTGGTCGGCTCGGCTTGGTTTTGCTCTTGGTTTTTGCCTATTCGGTTTCCAGTGACCAAGTGTGTGAATCTGAAGACTTCCTACCTGTTTATGAGTTAGAAATTGTGTGTGTGAAAGACAGATTTGGTATCATGCACCACTAACTGACAGCTGAGTAGCTTTCCCAGCCACTCCCTGCGTTTTCCCCACATCATCTCAGTCATCCCAGACACTGCCACGCCGCCTTCCAGTTTTCTGGGAAATGTGCAGGGCCCAACTCCCCAACCCAGCCTGACTGATTCAGGCCTGATCATCCCTGCCCAGCCTCGCAGGGCTTGGCTACTAAACGAAATGAATATCAACATTCCGTAAAGCACCGAACACTTCCAGTCCCACGTGACGGCCACGGTGGTTCCCAGCACAATCCCATCTGTGCTCCTGTTAAGGAAGGCATGGTTTCTTGCAGGAAGCTCTGACCTTGCCTTTGAGGGGATGCCAGCCAGGGCGCCAACGAACAGGCCCCCTCTGCCTTCCTAGCTCTGTGCCACTTACCCATCTGTGCAAATAGCAGTCTTGCTCCACCCGCCTTGATCCTGCCAGTTTGTGTTTTGAGAGCAAGGGACACCTGAGGAAGCTTTAGAGGTCACTGCAAGAGAGCCCTTAAGTTTCTCGATGTGCATGCAGGCCAGGCTGCACCCTGCTACCTCCAGGGGCTCCCTCAGTAGGCTGCCCTGGGAGTGGGTTCTGTGTGGCATCCCGAGTGCCCGGAGCAGTTCTGATAAGAGGCAGGGTATCGTTTCTGTTTCTGAAGATACATTTGTATATGTGTGCATGTACTTGAAAATCAGAGCTACACAGAAACGTCTTCCATCCGCTGGCTCACTCCCCAAGTGGCCGCAGCCGGGGCTGGAGCAAGCCAAAGCCAGGAGCCTGGAACTGCAACTGGGCCCCAGCATTGGCGCCATCCTCTCATGCTTTCCCAGGCACATAAGCCGGAAGCTACCAGGACTAGAACTGGCTCCCATACGGGATGCTGGCATCACAGGCAGCAACTTTAACCACCGTGCCTTAACACGGGCCTCTGGGCAACGTCTAATTTCAAGGGCTGTTTTATTTTTGTCTATTGGGGTAGGCATGGTGGCACACCCGCATCCCATGCACAAGTGCCCAGGATCAAGCCCCGCCCCCACCTCCCATCCAGCGTCCTGCTCAAGGCCCTTCGCTCCCTGCCATCCATGTGCAAGACATGGATGGTGTCCCGGCTCCTGGCCTAGCTGTGAGTGAACCAGTGGATGGAATTTGCATCTGTCTCCCCCTTTCTCTGCGTTTCAAATAAACAAACTTAAAACAACAACCTCAAAAACAGGCCCGTCACATAGCGTGAGAAGATCCAGAGTAGATAACAGGCTGAGGAGGCAACGGAGGGAGGGAGCGGCCGACCCCAAGGGCCTCCCTCCCTGGAAGGGTGCCAGTGTGTGCCTTGAAGCTACAGAGCCCACTGAGAGCCCACAGAATCAGCCTCCAGCCTGCAGAGCGCAGAGCACGGTTTACTGAGTACCAGATCCATGCAATCAACCGGCTAATTCCCCCAGACAGCCGCACCTCGAGCCCTCACCCGTTACCTAGCTTGGGCTCAACCTGGGAAACAGGCCTGTGCGACACGCATAACCAGAGACACTGCGTGTCCACGGTACGTGCACGTGAGCGTACAAGTCATTAGCAGTCCCCTCAGCAGAAAGACGGGTTATGAACACTTCACAGAACAACACCAGGCCTTCTGCACAACCCGCATGAACGGGGGGGGGGGGGGGGGGGGAGTACACGCCCCCCATTTACAATGCCAACGTGTGCACGCCTGCTGCAGATGTAGACAAACGTCGCTTTAAAGGGGCCGCCATCTGGAAAAGGGAGGAGGAGGAGGAGCAGTGGCCAAGCACAGCTATGCTTGACTCCCTAAACTCCAGGTGTCTCCCGAGAGAAGGCATTCGCGTAATTAAATGTATCAAACTAAAAATTGTTTAAATCTTCAAAATTCAATATATCACGGAGAAGAGGCATTTAGCCTGGCAGCTAAGACCGCATCCGACGTCCCAGTGCCTGGGTCCACTCCCGGCTGCAGCTCCTAACGGCAACTTCCTGCCCCAGCAGCCCTGGGGTGCAGCAATGGTCACTCCAGCTTAACTGGATTCCTGTCAGGCATGGGCGAGGCCCTGCCTGGCCCCCGCCACTGCGGGCATCGGGGGAATCTATTGGCACATGGGAGTCGCTCCATCTCTCTGCCTCTCAACTAAATATATATATATATATATATATATATATATATATATGAAAATAGGTCTACTGCACAAAGGTAAGAGGTGATAGGGTTCCTACTGCGGGGTTCTGTGGGGCCCTCTTGTACCCCAGGATCATCAGAGAAGGGGCCTGGGTCTGGCCTTGCCACGCCGTGGGGTCTCCTCCAGCCCTGCACTGCCATGCATGGTGCTCAAACAGCTGACCACGAGGAGGCAGAGACGCACAGGGCTTCGTGGCCCAGCCCTCCATCCCTCTGGGGCGGGCAGCTACGCTGTGGCTGATACAGGGCTGCGTGGGTTCACCAAGCCAGGCAAGAAGGAACTT